ATATTTGTTGTTATGTATAGCCTCACTGAATAAGTCGAAAAATGTGGGCCAGTGAGTATAATTCCCCGAAAAAACTGGTATTTCAATTTGAGGAGTTGAATTTTGTAAATGAGCAGTTGAGCATAATTTTTTATTCAACTTCTTTTTCATATCATAATAATAATCTTCCATTTGAGTATACTCACTATCGTATAATACGTCTCTGCCTTGTAAAATATTATCAATTTTTAAATGGGTTTCCTCGATAATTTGCCACTTTCTTTGTATGTTTCTAATCTCATCCTCCATTTCCCACTTGTCATCTAATTTTTCTGTTCTAATTCGTCGTATTCGTCTCAATAGTGCTCTGAAATTGGTTTTTTGCTGTGTCATAATTTCACTCGCCACCCCTCCGGGCTGGATTACTTTATCTTCCTCACTCGTAGAAGGAACCGAAAGAGAGATTTGCGAAAACACATATTTTGAATCTGCCGAGATAGGTAACGGAGACGCCGCTCGCACTCGATAGGGTTCGTATGCTGACATTTTTTCCCTTGTAATTTCATAAAACTCTTTCGAACGTCGATAAACGTTTCGAGTGAAACACTCGGAAGTCTTATCTTCGTACGCTCGTACAGTGATGTCGTTTCGATCGAATTCTGACCGAAGATCATCTGATACCTTCAATCTTTTTTGTAAACACTCCCGGCTCAGTTACAGGCGAGGCGGCGGCGGCGGCGGGTGCGGGGGAGGAGGGCGGCGCGGGGGCGGGGGCGGAGGTGAAGTCGCCGGTGTCGCTGGTGCACGAGCTGGCGCTCAAGCGGAACCTGTCCGTGCTGTTCACGGTGAAGTCGGAGCGCGGCCCGCCGCACATGAGGGTACGCGCGTCCCGCTACCGCTGCGTTCCTGCAGAGCGACGCGTGTTTATGTGCGTGCGCGTGCGCAGGTGTTCGTGACGGCGTGCGCGGTGGGCGAGCTGGAGACGGAGGGCGAGGGCAACGGCAAGAAGGTGTCCAAGCGGCGCGCGGCCGAGCGCATGCTGGCCGAGATGCGCCGCCGCTGGCCGCCCGCGCTGCTGCACGCGCGCCCGCCCCGCGCGCCGCGCCGCCACCCGCCCGCCAAGAAGAAGCCCCGGAACCTGATCAAGGTCAGTGCTAGTTTAATATAAATGCAATGTTCCGCTGGGGGCGGTCGCTGACCTCGCGACAAATCCATGCACAAACGAGGCGCCGCGTGTTAGCAGAAGTCTCCGATGATCGATATTTTTTAACATTGCGATGGAACTTTTCTGCACAATCGACAAGATTATGTAGAATGGGCGCCGCTAAATTTCTAGATGCCATTACTCTATTGAGTACTCGGTTAAATGCGCATTTAGATATACCTACGAAGCAAATTCAATACGAGAATATAGCAGGAAATGAAATGAAAATATTCGAGTAGGCCATTACGAGGACTTTTGAATCGTTCAAAAAATTTTTTTCCCCTTACCACTTGTTCAGGACGTCTTTTAGCTGACAAGAAGAACGAGCGAAAGAAACTTACCAGCTTTGACATTTACATAAATCATGTCATTACCAAAATAGTATGTATTATCACAATTCTGATATTCGGAGCGATGGTTATTTAAATAAAGTTTCGTCATCTCCAACATTTACCCTAACACAAAACAATGACATTATAAAAAGTAACAATAATAATAACATGATTAAAAAACCAACTAAAACTATGTATCATTTTAATAATTGTAATTTCACTAACTGTTTTAATAATTAAAAATAAACAAAATATAAAATGTTTTATTTTTTTCTGTTTCCTCGCAAATGTGTTAAAAAAACGATATACGTGTGTATTGGTTATAACATGCTCGGCTCAATTACGAGCTGAAATTCCACCTCGCATGTTATAACCATCATAACGCACTAATATAGTAATGTACTATTCTTGTTCTTTTTCGATACATGATAAATATAACTCTGACGTACCTAGTAATTTATGAATTGTTTATTGTTTTCCGTCTAACTCGAGTATAAGACTAGAAGCTGTTTTCAAATTAAAGTATTCCATTTTTATTTTACCTTTTTCCCTACTTATTTCTTCGCTTGTATTTTAGTATAGTGTTCACTTATTAAATCCTACAATTGTAATAGGTCTTTTCCTAAATGAAATCCTTTTAACGTATCTTTCAGTTTATCGAATTTTTCCGTTAATATTCTAGCTTGTTCTAACTTACTTAGAAAAGAAAGAAAGAAAAGTATTTTATTTCAATAAATCCATACAAATATGTAATCCATACTTAATACATATTCTTTTATTTCTATTCTTTTTGATCCTAATTTTCTCAAATCTGATAAGACTTTAATTTTTCTCTATAGTCCTTAATACTGTTTCAGATTCTTCCGTTAGTTTATACACAAACAATTAAAATTAAATTTAAATCTTTTTTCATGCAAAATATATACTTACATGTAAAAAAAAGAAAATATTGCAATACATGCTCTTAGGCAAGGTCGTCTTTGATTAAATAGATATCTGTTTTATATATACATATATGTTCTACTTTATTATGTAACATAAAAGGCCGGTAACTACACCTTGAAGAGATGCGTCATAAAAGGTGGCGTGGCTGTTTTTGGAACCGTTTACCGATCACATTATTTGGATATTACTCGATATCTATATATATAAAAATGAATCGCAAAATGTGTTGGTAAGCGCATAACTCAACAACGCCTCGACCAATTTGGCCAAATCTTTTTTTAAAATGTTTGTTGAAGTTCAAGGATGGTTTTTACGGCGAGAAAAATTAGAATTATTGCTGGAAAAACCCTAAAAATAGCCCTTTTCTTTTTCCCATACAAATGATTTGTAACTAAAACGTAGTCAATTTGAGCTTTATTGCTATGGTATAAAGTTCATATTAAATTACAAGCACTCGCTGTTGTCTAAGCAATGTAGGTGTGTTCCTAACGTCAAAGATCATATCTATCAAAACAATTTGCGTGTGTGCGTTGGAGCACAGAATACATAGTTGGAGGAGTTTAATGTCGCGTTCCGAAACTCGCGTTTCTTTTGTATTAGTTTCGGCACGCGAGATAAAATGCATCAGTTTCCACGTCATTACATCAGTCAAACAAAAATCGCGTTACCAACAGTGTTTTATTATTTTTAATATCCAAATTTTAAATCAATAAAACAATTCGTACGGCTTAAAAGGATTTGACTTCAAGTCATATCAAATTTAAAAAAAAAAAAGTTGTCTGTGACCTAATCTACTGAGTTTGCTTTTGTCAACTGATACACGAAACAAATTCGTATGTATATGTATGTATTCTTATATATGTTTTATTTAATTATTTTTTATTCACAACGCCCTATCACCAGGGTGACGGTTATGTTGAGGAGAATTTTTTTAAATACGTAGGCAAAAAAACTGCCACATTACAAATCTTTTTGACAGGACGAAGTCTGTCGGGTCAGCTAGTTATAATATAAAATATTATAAAATATCTTTTCAAATTAAATTCTTAATTATAATATAATTAATAGAATCTTCTCTGCTTTATAAAATCATCTTCCCGGTTCGTCGCATCTAAAACTTACATTTCACTGAGTACATACCGTTATTAGTTCACTTCGTCACATTTAAATAAACTTTATATCTCGCCTTATCTCGAACATATCTCGATCCTAGACTCGAACAAGTCCCGGCAGCTCTACAGGTCAGGAACAGCTCCCAGCAGCGCTACTGGACACGAACTTCTCCCGGCTGCTCTCCGATTTTTTTTTATACTGTAAAATTCTTTCGATGTCTTTTCTATATAAAATTCTGCATATTGCGATCGCCCCGATCAATAATAAAATACCAAGAAACACTAGAATTGTTATCAGGAAATATTCATTAGTTATGATAATGTTCACACTGTTATTTGAATTATTTAGCACATCTTGGTTTGCGTAATTCGTATCGGGGGTAATCTCGAACACACCCATTTTTATAGTTCGTTATTATTTATATAACGTTATATATCACTAACATGTTTTATAGTTTATTTATTTAATAATAATGTCGGAGACGAACGTATGCGTTCAAATTATTTATAATATATATTTTATTTTATAGTACATTGTTCATATAATTATGTTTCACTGTATAGTTCATATCTGTATAACACTTTTATGGAATATTTATTTATAAATTAGTTCTTATGAGCATTCGGCCCGGCATTGCGCGGCGCACGGCGAACGTGCGCTCGCGTCCCGTATATTATTCACACTCTCCTATGGCCCGCTCGGCGGGGTCGCCATCTGACATTCGGAGCGATGGTTATTTATATAATGTTCTTTTTCAAAAAGCGAATCGTTTCCAGGAGGGCGCGGCGGGCGCGGGCGGGGCGGGCGTGGGCGGCGGGGGCGCGGCGGGCGGGGGCGCGGGCGGGGGCGCGGACAACCCCATCTCGGTGCTGGCGGTGGCGCGGCACGTGGCGCGCGCGCGCTCGCCGCAGTACGTGGTGCTGGAGGAGCGCGGCTGCGCGCGGCGGCGCGAGTTCCTCGTGCAGTGCGACGCGCCGCCGCACCGCGCCACCGGCCTCGGGCCCAACAAGAAGGCGGCCAAGCGGCGCGCCGCCCACAGTCAGTACACGTGCACGTACACGCACGATACTACACGACACGATTTTCAGTATAGCGTTCTGAATGCAAAATTGATTAAATATTATTTTCGTACAAATCGAAAGTATAAAATGTTTTCGATCGACTGAGATTTAATTTTTTTGACGAATTATTTTTTACTCGTTTTCATAACGCTTTCCGTCTCCATCTATCTAGCGCGCTCTCGAAACGTCCTACTTTTTCGAATTTTCGAGTATGTGAATTTATTTAACTTTCGAATATTTTTCGGGAAAGATCCCTCTCAGTCCCGTTTCCCGGTGAACTCCCCTGACCGATCGGCCTCGGCGATCGAGACCGAGCCGCCGGAGTAAAGTGAGACCGGCCGTCTTCTTCCAGACGTGCTGCTGGCGATGGAGGCGAGCGGCGCCGCGGCCGCGCCCGCCTCCGCCTCCGCTGCCGCCTCCGCGTCCGCCGCCGCCGCCGCCGCCGACGATGATAAACGAAAAGTGAGTCTGGTGTTTGCATCACAATATTTTCAAGTAGACGTCGCCCCGAGCGATCGAAACGTGCGCGGTGGGCGCGCGGGACGTCTCGACACACGTCACATCGACTACCTGGACGTGAACGAGGTGATATATTGAATAATATCTGTTGCAGGAGGGCGAGCCGGGCGGCGGGGCGGAGCGCGGGGAGGGGCGGCAGCCGGTGCCGGGCGTGCTGCTGATGGAGTACCACCAGCGCGCGGGGCAGCCGCCCCCGCCCCCGCCCACCGGTGCGTTATACACATACACACGCTGCACACGCTACACACACTGCACACATCCGACCACATCGAGATCCAAAAAACCTTCAAATTTTACAATTTTGTCAAAATATTGAGTTCCAAACCGGATGTAAGTGAAATATGAATCGAACGAATCGAGCTTTAGGGAATATTTCAGGAGGAAAATATCAGCTATACTTTTTTATGTAAATCCAGGACGAGACTGTAGTGGTTAATGTGAATCATGTTTCGTGAATAAGTATTTTTTAAACTGTTAACTAATTTTTACTTCTCATTTATTTAAACTCAAAATTCAATTCTTTCATTATTTTTACAATAACCCCAAATAATAAACAAAAGAGTACTTTTTTCTTGAAACAAATGTGTGATTTTCACAATATTACAGGAAAAAAATTAATGTTGTGACAAATACGAAATACTATCGAGACGACCACAAATCAACCAGAATCTGATGACAAATCGGGAAATTTTAATTTGTAGAATACAACATTGGGGAAACAGAACAGAAATATTTTAATTTTTAATATAATAAAAGACGTCTCAATAACTTTCCATAGCATTGAAAATACTCCTGCCCGAATTCCTATCACGGCAAATCTTAAAATAGATTAACTATCTCCGTGGAACATAACATACATACATCTAAACACTATATATTAGCAATATCTAATATTATATATTCAACACTTGACCCGACAGAAAATCCCAATAATGTTTTACCTGAACCGGAATCTAACACGAATAAATAAAACCAGCCATTATATTATTTATTTCTATCTTTTACTCATCTAATTGAAATCTGTTTTATTTATTTATTTTCTTTTTCTCCAGTACGTAAAAATATCTTCAAAACTTCTTTAATAATAATTAGTTTTATTGTAGTACACCGTCGATACACCAACGAATATTTAGTAATTAATTCTTTAAAAAAAATAAGTATCAAGACTAGTCATTGTTAGTCACTGGTGAATTCATAATCTAAAAATTTTGCTATCTTCAGCTTTTTTTCACAAATTTTGTTATAAATATTAAAAACAACATTTCTCGACTGTGAAACATAGTTTTTTGGGCATTTTCACAAAGCAAATTAATATTATCACAAATATTCACAACAGTTTACACTTTGACTTGACAGTCGACATATTATATTTCCATTTTCGTAGTCAAATGAGGTGTGTTTTCTGTGTGTGGTCCTCGCTCCGGTGTATGTTAGTGGCTAATACTCGTGTGCGCGTGCGCAGGAGTGAGCGAGACGAGTGCCACGGGCGGGGCAGGGGGCGCGGCGGGGGGAGCGGGCGCGGCGGCGGCGGGGGGAGGGGGCGGGGGAGGCTCCCCCGGCGCCAAGGATCAGCTCCTCTACCTGGCGCAGCTGCTCGGGTTCACCGTGCAGTTTTCAGACTTTCCCAAGGTATTTAAAAATCTATATTTTCAGATTGACCCTGCATTAAATCGATCTCGGGTCATTTGAGAGTAGGAGTTGCATTAATTATCTTGGAATGCTTTTGGACGAGAAATTTTCCTATGTCGAATTGCCAGCGTAGCTGCAAGAATCCGTAAAATAATTAATATGAAAGGACTACTATGGATACCAAGTGACATTACCTAGCTAAATGATATGATCAATTAATCTGCATAGATTGTGTCAACCTGATTGCCAGCATCTATATGACTTTTCTGGTAATCGTTTAAAACAAGTAGATTAAGGCCATTCATTAATTATGTGAGACTTGAAAGGGGGGGGGAAGGTTTCGTTAAAAATCACGAAATATCACAAGGGGGAGGGAGGTGTAATAATATATGACGTATATTTATTTTTTCGTCAACCGCGCGATCACTAAACCAAAAAGCGGCGTCAAAAATGAAGATTTAGGTACTAAAAAGTACATGTGATTTTTTAAGTCTCAAACCTCACCATGTGTCACCAAGGGGAGGGGGGGTAAAAAAAGCTGAAAAATACATCACGTGATTAATCGACGGCCTCTTAGTGACAAATTATAGACCAACCCTTGAAAACCTCATGCTGCTCCTCTATGATACAGCTGATTATAAACGGCAACTAAACATAATTTGTTTTGAATTCTATCGTATGTATAGGCGTTATAAAAGTTAGGTATGTTTAATTTTCATCGTCGTAGGGTTATATTTAGCCTTCAGTTTTCGCGTATGCGAAGGTATGCGTACTCTGCACGAGCGTGGTCGCATAAGTGTGTAGGTAGGGTGCGTGTACGTGTAATGTTGTTTCCCAGCGCAACCACGGCGAGTACCTGTCGCTGGTGTCGCTGTCCACGGAGCCGCCCGTCATGTGCCACGGGGGCGGCGCCTCCACCGCGCTGTCCCACGAGCACTGCGCGCGCGCCGCCCTGCGCGCCCTCGCCCTCATGGGCCTGGACACGGAGCCCGCCCCCGCCCCCGCCCCCGCCCACGCCCACACGCGCCCGTGAGTATACGCCGCCCTGCGCGCCCTCGCCCTCATGGGCCTGGACACGGAGCCCGCCCCCGCCCCCGCCCCCGCCCACGCCCACACGCGCCCGTGAGTATACGCCGCCCTGCGCGCCCTCGCCCTCATGGGCCTGGACACGGAGCCCGCCCCCGCCCCCGCCCCCGCCCACGCCCACACGCGCCCGTGAGTATACGCCGCCCTGCGCGCCCTCGCCCTCATGGGCCTGGACACGGAGCCCGCCCCCGCCCCCGCCCCCGCCCACGCCCACACGCGCCCGTGAGTATACGCCGCCCTGCGCGCCCTCGCCCTCATGGGCCTGGACACGGAGCCCGCCCCCGCCCCCGCCCCCGCCCACGCCCACACGCGCCCGTGAGTATACGCCGCCCTGCGCGCCCTCGCCCTCATGGGCCTGGACACGGAGCCCGCCCCCGCCCCCGCCCCCGCCCACGCCCACACGCGCCCGTGAGTATACGCCGCCCTGCGCGCCCTCGCCCTCATGGGCCTGGACACGGAGCCCGCCCCCGCCCCCGCCCCCGCCCACGCCCACACGCGCCCGTGAGTATACGCCGCCCTGCGCGCCCTCGCCCTCATGGGCCTGGACACGGAGCCCGCCCCCGCCCCCGCCCCCGCCCACGCCCACACGCGCCCGTGAGTATACGCCGCCCTGCGCGCCCTCGCCCTCATGGGCCTGGACACGGAGCCCGCCCCCGCCCCCGCCCCCGCCCACGCCCACACGCGCCCGTGAGTATACGCCGCCCTGCGCGCCCTCGCCCTCATGGGCCTGGACACGGAGCCCGCCCCCGCCCCCGCCCCCGCCCACGCCCACACGCGCCCGTGAGTATACGCCGCCCTGCGCGCCCTCGCCCTCATGGGCCTGGACACGGAGCCCGCCCCCGCCCCCGCCCCCGCCCACGGGCGATGGGCAGAAACACTTTGCCCATCTCTAGTTCTCATCATCTCTCACTGTCCTGACACGCATTGACCATTTCACTTATAATCTATTTTCTGTTCCAGCTTGGTGAATGTGAACGGCGGCCCGGTGGGCACCGGCGTGGCGGAGTGAACTCACCCCCTCCCCCATCACCCCTACACTGTGTCCCCCCTCCTCCCGTACCTGCCCTCCACTCCGGTGGGCCGCTTCGAGTACGTCGTGAATATCTCACAGTAGCGTACTGTTCGGGACCGCGTGCAGCTATGAAATATTCACGCCTTCTCAGTTTGATAACTGATGCTGGACTGCCCTTTTCTGATTGCTGTGTCGAGAGTTACATAACTTTATTAATAATATTATGTGTACCGCTTGTCAGCCGCGAAGGTTTAATTCCATTCGTTCTGAACATATTAGCATATGATGCGTTTACGTTTGGTCGAGTGAAGGTTCGCGGGCGACCCTGATGATTTTAGTTTTATATAGGTCTTGCGCATTCTACGGGTCTGTCCGTAAAACATGACAGATTTATAGAACAGCAAACTATGATGTCGATATATGATATCGTTATTATTGACAACGGCGATGTCAGAGTGATTTATTAGCAGTCTATTCGGAGAAGTATTTATAAATATTATTTATTTTTAGCCCAAGAAAAGTATATTCAATTTAGTCACACGATGCGCGTTATTAAGAGCGTAGTATACATAGATTACGAAACGAAAACTAGCGACCCGCGACGCGTATTAAGCGACCGATGAATTACGTTACATTTTTTAATGTTTGTTTGCGCTTTTACGACGCGCGACGAGTGTAAGGCGGTGTCATAATACGTATACGGAACGCGTGGCGTGCGCACGCGACGGGAGAACGTATTCGAGTAGAGGGGAGGTGTGACACTATACTCTGACATCATGCGGCCATGGCGTCAGACTAGTGCAGTGTAGTGTTTATGTATGAATGTATGTGTATGTATACATCGCCGCGCCGCCCTCGTAAGGGCGCGGGTGTCGCGGCGATTCTGTTTTGGCCTCGATTTTTAGCTAATCCAGAGGTTGAGCGCCTTCAGGAGTCTGTGGCCCTTATCTATGAAATGTGTAATCATAGTTAACTTAGGATACTTGAGAGTAGCTATCGATTAGCACTCGCACTCGCGCTGGCCGGTCGGAGACCGCTCGCTAATTGTAGGCTGTATTTAATCTGTCTAATTTACGACAATCGAACTCTGTAGCGTTCGACTAACGTGTAGCGTTTTCTCTGTAATCGTTAATGTTTAAGTATATGTGGGTACGATCGTTGCACCGATCGATCGTAATAAATTGTACGTGTATCGAATGAATTGTACATTTCATTGTAACGGGTCTGGTAACAAGAATATCACTTATCGTATAGAGATACGTAATTAATACTATTGTATAGTTGATTTCTTTAACTGATAAGTAACTTGTAACCGTTTGTAATGTATATCTATGTGCATAGTCAAGAATGAAATTTCCTTGTGAAATTTTAGTTGCGATACGAAATCTCTATTGTTTTTAAAACAATTTTAAATCGAGGCCATCGAATACATTTCTTCATGTTAAAAGTTGCGCTTTGGCAACTGAACGCATTGAAGAATTAAAAACGCCATAAGGGCATTAAAATGTTTTATTTATTTTGTTTTAAGTAACTAATATTTTATATCATGCGGCCAAAACGAGACGCAATGAACTTTGTGCTTTTAGCGAGTATAAGGAATACATAAATAAAGAAAATAATACTTGCATTATTGTTGTTTCATTCGTTTTCCTCAATCAGGAAATGCATTCGAATATCTTATAAAAAAATTCGTAAGTTGCCGTTTGATATGTAGTAATATTGGAGGTAAGTAATCGTTTCTGGTGCTGTTGGACAAGTCAGCCTGCAGGAGCTGCAGTATGAAATGTATGTATGAAAGTACGCTACAGAGCGTACTTTCATCTATGTTCAGGCAATCCACCCAACATCCGAAAGAAATATTTTACAAATATTCAAACTTTCGATAAAGATAAGGATTCTGTATTGATAGTACTATAATGAAAAATGCTTAAAAAGTCGACTGGCCTTAGCTGAGCTACCCAAGGCCTAACAGGACTGACGAATTTTTCAAGCACTTTTTAATTTTTGTTACTACTAAGGTCATGGGTTTCGAGTCCCATCTGTGCCAGGGACAGTCGATTTTGTTTAAGTATTTTCATCTATACTATAATAAAAACGTAAACGATCGATGTCTGTACATTGAAGATATATATACAGGAATAATTTAAAACCACTGCGAAGATTTTGTGAAAATAAACTTTAAGTAATTTAAACAAACACGTATTTTTTATTTTGATATGTTCTAATACTAAAAAATAAAGTTATCGCTTATCAAAGATCGAGATTTTAAAACTAAATTTATGGACACCGCGCGCCGTGCGTCAGCTGAGCGCTCGCTCGACGCCGTAAGTATGTACTCGTAGGTACCTATCTACACGGGTCACTGGCCGCTCATTTTGTTAGATTCGAACTAGATTTTATGCCATGATCTGAGGTGATTTTTAAGAGTAATTCCAATTTTCCCTTCATACTTTTATGGTTAAGGCCATCACAATGCAAAAAAATAAAAGAGAAACAAATTCGTTACCTAGAAAAAAATATTAACGTTATGCCGAAGTTACATAGGTACTTCTGCGTTAAGGCGTATTTAAAAAAAAATTAGAATCAACTACGTATTTACAATAATGTTGAATCAAAACAAATACCTAACTAATTACTTACCATGTATTTTAATATTTGTTCAAAATGAAGTCCACGTCTGTCCAGACATAAACGTGCACATTTCATTAAATTGTCATTTAATTTGTTTAAAACACTAGTGTCACTTTTCACTTCACTGAAAGCGTTATTATTTTTTATTGTTAGGTCTTCTAGACTTTGTGCCTCCTCAACATCTCGGCGTTTGACTTCTTCCCATAAGAAACACTCCCTCACGTGTGAACAATGCCTCATCCGTCCACAAGATGTTTGCATCGCGGTGATGTAGAAGTCACACACATAAGGCTCGACGTGGTACTGGGTCTAGGTCATGGAACTGCTGAACCGGCTGAAAGTGGTACGGATGGAGTCCGGCTGTTTTTAGCAGCTTCAATACCGCAGGCTGGCTCACACCAAAGAGACATGCCGCATCGTGGGTACTGACTCTGGGACTTCGTCTGTTAAAATGGTTCGAAGCATTAGGGACCGCGGGGTTACGGATCCCAAAGGCCCGCATACGAGGTATGCTCTTCGTCGCATACTTTCTCCGAATTGCGCTTATGTAGGTTCTCACCACTCAGAAGATAAACTCTCGTAAAACTCACGACGGCGGGCGCGTCGAGTGCGCGGGAACGCGAGGGCACGTCACATCGGCGCGTGCGTATGAGTCTCACTGCCGCGCGCGTCGCTCGGTCCCGGCACATGTCGAAAGATATAGGGGCGGTGGGGGCTGTTACGGGGGGCTACCGGGCGCGGCGGGGATGCACGGTGGTATACGCAAGAGAAGACGTTTTCATTGAAGTTTTATTGTAAAAAATGTGTCCATAATCTACCGTTTCGATAGGGATAAAAATATAAAAAAAAATTTTTTTACTAATTATGGAACAGTGTTCTATTACTGATACTGAACCACCAAAAAAAATTTTTGCACTGGAAAAAAAATATTCCTGTATAAAAAAAAAAACTGTTATGAGAGGCATT